GTTTGAAATATTATTTCATCTGAAATCAACTGTTTTATTATCAGGCAGATTTCTTCGGAACCAGTGATATTCAATTCAATTTGACAAGTTTACTCTATCATGACAAACCATATGTCATGTATCATTGTAGATCACAAAGGAATTTGGATTATAAAATCCTCACTAATTAAGCACGCATTTTTGCACGCGCGTTCTTCATCATTTGGGGCAAATCTCCAGTTACTTAGACACAATGCTTCAGTGTTTTGGCAAGGGAAGGGGACATGAAATGGAATCAAGTCTACATAAGAGTACGGACTCTTGAAATTGAAGACCCGCCCCACTATCTTGTAATACACTGTTGGGGAATGACATTGGTCAGACGGTAATTGTGCTTCGCAATTGTATCAAAAGGGTTCTAATCAAATTACTAAATGCAGCTACTGCATAATCTAATGGCGGATATTTAGCTTACCAGCAGTGCTCACCTGGACTTTTTTAATTAATATATATATGCCAAACTTATTATGTTTCTGTAACGTGCAGTAATAAATACAGTCGTGGCCATAACCGCCAATAAATTCATTATAAAATCATTTATTTTGTGTCATTTTTCTTTTAAAGTTTAATAGGGTAAGGCATCCCTTGTTAGCAACATTTTGTCTTTGATAAGACTGATTACATTACATCTTAGAAATTCAAAACATTTTTTTTTCGGATTCTTTGAAGAATTTCAATGTTTATTTAAAATTTATGTTACTTAAGTTATTATATACAGGTCACAAAGGCGCTCCCCATGTACGTTTGTAGATGACTAAATCATTATGATAGTCTACATATAGGTCTATCCCTCTATACTTCAAAATCAGTTGATTTTATAGATAGAGGGGTAGATCTATGTATATAGACTATCATTTCGTCATCTACAAACTTACATGGGGATCTTCTATGAGAAAAAGTTCAGTTAGCTGCACTGGCTTCCGGTCCAGTATCGACAACAATGTAAGATACTGGTGCTTACCTATTGCACCCTGTTTGGATGTGCTCCTTCATATCTGCAAGAACTTATTAAAGTTTATAAGCCAGCTCGATCACTAAGATCGGAAACATCAATAAGACTTGTAAATCCAAAAGTTCGAACTAAGACTTTTGGAGAACGGAATGTTAGTTGGGCTGCCTCCAGTTGATGGAATGAACTTCCAACACGCATAAAACTGGCACAAAGTGTGGATGTTTTTAAAAAATTGCTAAAAGCACACTTTTTAAGACTGCCTTTCCTGAGTTTTAAACACCTATAATTTTTATTACTTTTTTAAAAAAAAATGTCTCAAAAGCAAATATCCGATTTTCCTATTTTATTTAACTCTTATTTTTCTTGTACATGACGTTGCGCACGGTGTTGGTACACATTGACGTTACGTCAAAATAACGTTATTAATGTCATAACGTTGTTACAACGTTTTAAACGTCAATTGCATATTTTAGTTGTTTAATGTGAATTCTATTTATTTATTTTTTTAAATCTAAATAAAATAACAGAGCACAAACTTTTCAATTTTTGAATCTTCGTTGAAAATATTAAGATGTACACTAAAAATCCTATAATCTTATAAATATTTAATAAATTGTCAGATTTTTATTATGAAATTGTCACAGGCATACATATCGCTAAACTGGAAAAAAAATTAAATGGCCTTATACTGAATTAAACTTTTCTTTTCTTTTTTCTTCAGCCCAAGTAGTTAAGCTCTCTTTAAAAATCGGGGGGGGGGGGGGGGTTACTGACATGCAAAAAAGAAGGGATGCATGTGCATGGGGACGTTTCGCTATTAAAAACCCTACTAAATTGAAAAAAAAACTAGACAGAAAAAATAAAATTCAGAAACCCTTTTACTTTTTCGTGGAGGGGGGGGGGGGGCTCTCATTCTCATTTAGCAAAGAGAGAGAGAGAGAGAACAATAACGCGATATGTTTAGATATTGCTGCAGCAAAATAAAAAGGGAGTATCGGCCTTTGAATGAAAATTTTCAGAATATTTAAAACAAAAGATTGTTCTAAAATAATTGGAGAAGGACCTTTTACCCTACTTGGTACTCCGGACCTGCAGAAAATTAAAAAAAAAAAGAACACGGCGATACAATTTGACGCTCCCGACGTCATTCGTATATATGTAGTGTGTAAAATGACGTTTTTCGTACCTGTGACAAAATGGCTACATCTATATTAATGCTTGCGTTTATTTCATGTAGATGATAACCGTAAAAATTATGTTATTATCTAATACAGTATGAAATGTTCTTTCAAGATACAGTAATGATTGGTATATATATGACATTAATTTATGTATATTTGATATGTAACTGAGACATATTAAGTAATAGTACAGCGACTCGTACGTGCATAACAAAATGGCTACACTTAACAAAGCCTTACTAATATTAACGTATCAGCAGTTATATAACATGTATCAACATAATTAATTTTAGAAACATATGTACTTAAAGATTATTCATCAAAATTTATCTTTGTGTGGCATTTATGTCTCGTACACATCGCCATGCGGGCTAATGTCAACTTTAGGAAACGATTTTTTCCTGTTGGACATATTACTTACGCACTGTAGATACAGCCCAAACTCGTGAAATTGAGAAAATGATGCTAAAAATTCAACAATATCACAAAGAATGCATACATATTATTGTATTTCCTAAATTTTATTTAATTTAGAGGATTGGAAGTGGATCTTTTTATATCTTGTAGTTGCGCGATTAATAATTCATGTAACGTTGGACACGGGAATTTCGCCGCAATAACCAATAATGAATAAAGCAATATCATAGCTAAGATATTTTTATATTATTAAAAAGAGAATTTTTAGAATAATTTATTACCTTGGATAAAATAATTAATTTTATTTTTAATTTCTAGTAACTTTATCATCTTGAAAGCGCCAGTTTCTTTACGATATCTAAAGAGTCAGATTTTATAGTACCAACACCGTGCGCAACGTCATATGTATGTTTCTCCATTTTTATGCGCCTTTCATTTTCTTATTCTTTTTTTAAAGCTTTATTTACTATCTTGTACATTTATTTCACTATAATCTTATTGTTAAGCGCCTTAGAGTAATTTTTGCACAAAAAATATTTTCCTTATCCCGATTTCATTTAAATAAATATTGTGTTTAAGATGATTTTATGGCAAAAATGAAAAGTGAAGATAACGAACAGCAATTGAAAAAAAAATCTATAAAGAGTACAAATCTGTAAAGAGAGAATAAACACGGGCTTCAGGAAATGTCAGAGGTGAGATCAGTTGCCTTAGAGGAGCAAACATCCCCTGTTGACCTGTAGCATCCGCTGTGAACGAAATGTTGACTTTGTGTTGACGATGTTATTGAAATCCTTGTAAAATCAAATTATCTCTTATCGAGTCGACATATAAATGGAAGTAACTATTGTTAATTGATAAAACCTCGTCCATATAATTATCTGAATATCGCGTTAAAGGTCACATCAAGTGTTTTCTTCTGATGTAGAAGATTTTTAATATAAATGCCATAAGCAGGTCATTTAGGTATCTTGCTAAATCAAAAGGGAAGCTGTCAATGAAGTTAATTTGTTACTTTGCCATCAATATATTTTAAAGTTAAATATGCAGAAATGAAATAGATGTATCAGACTCTGAGGTGTCTTTTATTTTGAGTTTAGAGAGATTTATCACATGAAGGATTTAACACAAATAAATAGTTACGGTAATTAATAAAACGTCATTTGGATGTCTAAAAATCGAGTTGAACGCTGCAGCAAGAGATTCTTCTTTTTACCAGAAAATTTTGAATAAATTCTGTCTCAATAGATCTATTAATATTTGTGTGGGTCGCATTTTTACTGCTTTTAATTGACAAGTCTCAAACTTGAGCATTTTTAAATATTTAGAATTTCTGGTACCTTTAGTATATGTCAATCTAGTAAGATTGCCATGCATGCATAAAATACTTATCAAATTATTGTCAATCTACTGTATAGACAGAGTTAATTTGAGTAGTACATTCAATATTTATGTAGATACTACAAACGAATACTTCTGAATGTCAAATTTATTAATGAAATTGGCCATAGATTTTTTTTTTCAATTAAAATAATGGAATACTAAGTATTAAAACAATTACATTGGCAATCAGGAAATGAAAGCATGGAGTAAGGCTTCCGCGTCTCTGTTTCCATAAAAATACATTTAACAAAAATTATAAGTGTTTGCACATTGCTTTAAAGATGTAAATGCGTAAGATATAAATGCATTTCAAAGAATTTCAACTCAATTGCAAATAAAGCCAATTTTAAATATTTTTTTTAATGGGGACATCAAGGTATTTCCCTATATATTGTTTAATTTCTGTGTTCCGTTCGGGGAATTCAGAACTTTTCTAACCATAAAAAATCTAGCATAGCACACAATTTTCAGAATGAAAAGCATCGCCCGCGTGGCGCAGTGGTTAGAGCGTCTGCTCGAGTCGCGAAGTAAGGAGTTGATCCTTACGTCGCGGGTTCGAATCCCAATGTGGGACGTGGAGACCGGTCCTTCGGATGAGACCGTATAAACCGAGGTCCCGTGTCGCAGTAGGTGCTGGCACGAAAAAGATCCTTCACTGCTCAATGGCTGTAAGTGCCGAGTATAGACAAAATTGCAGCTCTCCACCGGCGAGTGGTGGCGTCTCCATATGAGTGAAAAATTCTCGAGAGGGACGTTAAACAACATATAATCAATCAATCAATCAGAATGAAAAGCATAGTATGCAGAAGAAGAGAATGAACGAGATAGGAGGAATTATCAGTATACATAAGCATCATATGAAGTGTTAATGATGCAAGAGAACAGACCAGCTGCAGTCTAGAAAGAAGATAAGACATCGTCAGAATCTCGACAATGTAGATCACAAGATTCTGCAACTGAATCCCCTGTATTGCAAGTAAAGAAAACTTAATCTCAGAAAAAGTACATGTATATAGACAAATTTAACAGTTTTTTAGATGCACACATTTATTGGCCCAATTTTCTTTTACATAAAAATAGACAACATATAAATTCAGGCGAATCCATCACAGTAACCTTTGATGAATGAGAAGCACCAGAGCTGTGCTTGTATTACAACCACTCACGACATCACATCTTAACCAGACTGAGAAAGGTTTCTGGTCATATGAAAAAAACTGTCACTTATAACAGTGCATGTACTTTCTTCAGGAGATATAATTTATTTACAGTGAAACTTGTCTCAATCCAAGACGTTCTATATTCCGTTACCTTGTATTTTGAGACATATACGTTTATAAATGCCTAATCTATCTTTAACTTTGAAATATTATTTCATCTGAAAAACTGTTTTATTATCAGGCGAATTCCTTCTGAACCAGTAATATTCAATTAGACAAGTTCATTGTATCATTCTCTTCCATCATGTATGTATCACATTTGAAAAATCTTTCCTTTATCTTTTTTTAATAAAATTCTCATGACTGCCAGAAAAGCATACATATCTCAGATTTGAAAGAGAGCATATTTTAACAATATGATTTCAGATGGCTCAATATATAGTTATCATTATCCACATATATGCTATATTAATTCTATGATAAAAAAAAAATAGACTTGTGCTTCAAAATAGCATTTACCAACTAAAGGCAGTTCCTCTCCAGAAATACATGAAATAAAACTAAATTATTCTCTAAATTACCTGGCCCAGGTAAATGGTAAAAAAAAAACTGTAAACAATAGTCTACAATGTTCTACAAAAAGATCATAAACCCAGACCAGCTGCTGGTTTGATATTACTTTTGTTGTCAGGTTATCCATCACTATATATTTTTTCTTTCACTTCATCTGTGTATTTAAGTTTAATGTGCATTGTCTCTGGCTTCAATGTTCTGTCATTTTCTGTTTACTTGTGAAGTTTAATACGCTGTATTGTATATATTATTAACTGATGCTGAAATGTACATTTGTTTGTATCATGCACTTATTTCTCATTTTCATGTTTTTTTCTGTGAATTTAATATCTCTATTACCTAAAACAAAAATTCCAAAAACCAACCACATCTACATATCACAAACAAACGAAATGAATACCTTTTTTTCAATTCTAAATGTGCCTTTACAATTCCAGGTGTCTTAATTTTTAATTGCACAAAACCAGTACTTGTACGTACATGTGAATGTTATACACATTTTATACATTTCTTTTCTATATATTACAGGAAGTAAGATACATTTCAGTTGTATTTGTAGAATTCTATACTTTGTATTCTTTCTCATGATATATATACAGTGTATATCTTAAAAACTTTATAAGAAATATTTAACAAGCAAGTAATTCAATACTGCTTACATATTTCATTTTAAGAATTACTAAATGCATACAAACAGTCAACATACAAGCAAACAACATTACAAGACAAAAATTTGTAAGAAATTTCAACACGCAAAATTAGACTGACTACAAAATATGAGGGAAAATAACCCTGTGTAGGTTTCATTTTAACATCCTACTAAGTACTCTTGTATAAAAATAGCTTTAAAAGAAAACATTTCTTTGTTGTGTAGATTAGCTTCCACTCAATAAATAAACATCTATTCTAGCTAAAACTATTGGTCCCCAAATGTAATTATAAACCTATAGTTCACTGTCTTACAACTCCTAGTCGTTTTTTAAGAAATGCAGAAGAGACTTTGTTAGCATTCTTTTTAAGAAGTTCCCGTCCTCCGTGTTTGTTCCACTCCGACTCGAAGTCCTTGCCAAGGATTTCGGCTCCTTTTTTACGAGTGAGTCCGGTCTCATCTAAACTCAGCTCACACATCTGTAGGTCATGAACTCCTAAAATTATTCAAAGTTTAAAGAGATTATAAGAAAATTCCCTACACTTTTTAACTTCAAGAGAAAAATAACATATTTATCAATTTAACATATTTATGAAAATATACGTCAGATCATTAGTCTACAAAGCCATGAACATTGACCTTTTTGTATGCTTAACAAAGAGGTAAAATTGTTGAGATTTTTTGTAAATTCTCAACTCACCAGCAACTAGCAGGAGTGGCTGTTTGTCTGGATAAAGCTCCATCTGGCGGGCAATATACTGACCATCAAAGTGGGCATACCACTGACCATGTTTCTTGTGGGTGGGGTCATCACGGAATTCATCAGCTGGACGTGCAAATGGAATACGGAAAAATCTCTGCTGGTTCTCCACAGCTGGTTTGCTTTGTTTTGGAGCCACCTGTGGCTCATCAGCTGTTGATGCAAGAAAAATATCTTCATCCTGATTTGCATTTCTATAAGTGTGTGTGTGTGTGTGGGGGGGGGGGGGGGGGGAGGGGGAGAATAAAGTGAAATGAAATTGAAACACTTTAAATCTTCATTACTTCAAAATTACTATCAATTTCAAATTAAAAAAAGGTATGACCTTGGTTTTCTTCTTTTCTTATTTAAAATTTTATTCCAAATATAACAAATTACATTTACATTAATTTTCCTTTTTTTCACTCACCATTGGAGAGAACACTTTCTGGTGCCCTTTCATCCTCTTTAGCACCGGTCTTCTTCTTGTTCTTTTGTTTCCAGGAGTGGTACACTTTCAGACGCCTGTGGAACTCTTCTCTACATGCATCTAATAACTCAATGTCTGCAATAAAAACGGAAGTGGTTTAATGTATCATGCCACAAAAAAACTAGAAATATGTCCATAGGACATGAATGCCCCGCCAAGGGTATATTAGTAATGCAATATTTTAACACAAATTGAGAAAAGTGAGGTCAAGGTCAAAGGAAACGTCAAGGTCAAAAAATATTGCTGCAGTTGAATAGCTTACATCAGTATGTATCAGCATATGACGTTTGATTCAGAAACTAATTTAAGAAAAGTGAGGTCAAGATCAAAGGAAAGGTCAAAATCAAAAAATGTTGATGTAGTTGAAAAGGTTACATCAGTATGTATTAGCATATGAAGTTTGATGAAAATATTATGAATGGTTTCTTTAAAACTGAGCTAAACACTAATTTAAGAAAAGTGAGGTCAAGGTCAAAGGAAAGGTCAAGGTCAAAAAATATTGATGCAGTTGAATAGCTCTCATCAGTATGTATCAGCATATGAAGTTTGACACTAATTTAAGAAAAGTGAGGTCAAGGTCAAAGGAAAGGTCAAGGTCAAAAAATGTTGATGCAGTTGAATAGCTCTCATCAGTATGTATCAGCATATGAAGTTTGATAACACTATCTTGAATGGTATATTTAAAACTGAGCTAAAAACTTATTTAAGAAAAGTGAGGTCAAGGTCAAAGGAAAGGTCAAGGTAAAAAATATTGATGCAGTTGAATAGCTCTCATCAGTATGTATCAGCATATGAAGTTTGTTAAAAATATCTTGAATGGTTTCATTAAAACAGAGCTAAACATTAATTTAAGAAAAGTGAGGTCAAGGTCAAAAGAAAGGTCAAGGTCAAAAAAATGTTGATGCAATTGAATAGCTTACATCAGTATGTATCAACATATGAAGTTTGATTACACTATCTTGAATGGTATCTTTAAAACTGAGCTAAACACTAATTTAAGAAAAGTGAGGTCAAGGTCAAAGGAAAGGTCAAGGTCAAAAAATGTTGATGCAGTTGCATAGCCCTCATCAATATCTATCAGCATATGAAGTTTGATAAAAATATCTTGGATAGTTTCTTTGAAACTGAGCTTTGAACAGAGCTAAACGCAAAGTGTGACGGAAGTACAGACGGAAGGACGGAAGGACGGAAGATGGACATGACAAACACTATATGCCCCAGCCATATTCATGGCGGGGCATAAAAAATTTTATTATCCAAGAAACATATTCCCATAAAATGAATTTCAATCCCAGTTTTGTTTTGTTTTGTTTTGTTTTTTTTTTTCATACTCTTGGTTTAATATTACTTCTAGTAAAAAAATTAAGGAAGCATGTATAACTATATAATTGTTAAGTAATGAAATACATGTAATTAGTGACTGACCACATGATGTGTTGATGGCGTCTCTGAGCTCTGCGTACTTCCACTTGGACAGATCGTACTTCTTCTGTAGAGCAGCTGCTCGGGATGCCCGCACTTCCTCAGATCTATAAGTAGAAAAGTTTACTCTAATAACAATTTATTTTGTGTGTTAGTGTGTGTGTGTGTGTATGTGTGTGTGTGTGTGCAACACAATCATGAAGCTAGATGCTGGAAATGGTCAGATCTGAGTGCAGATGAAGCAGAGTATATCGATATACCTTGATGCAATGGAAAAGCTTGTATTTTGCATTGTCTTCATTTAATGCTAAGTTTCAAAATGCTTATTTTTACAAGAATAATATACAACATGTATTGGGTAAAATATTTTTGTATGTTTAATAAATTTATTGTAATGTTTAACGTATTCTCCCTTGTAATCATAGCAATAAATATAAAGAGCATGTCTTGTCTAGCGTTGGGCTAAAAGGGAAGAAATTGAGTGCTCAGTAATATTTCAGGCAGCACACATTAAGGAAAAATTATTTAACATAATAGAAATCAATTCACAGTAGACTCATATAAGCTTTCATTTTATACGAATTAATTTGTAAAAAATATTCATCTGAATTTAATCAGTTATTTAAAGTTCTGAAGAAGATGAAAATACAAAATATCTTACTTTCTACCATCATCAGTGCTGTACATGAAAATTTTACATCATTATTACATGTATACTAAAATTAAAAATGAAATCTTTGAAATAATTTAATCTGAAAAGCAAGGTTTAAAAATTTCTAAACACAACTGATGAGCCATTTTAAGTTCCATATTGACTTTTAACTTGTCATTCCATAAGCTGTATGTCTGTTGTTTACATTGTGTGCAACATTACATTGTCTGTGATTCTCCCTCTGTCTTTGAGTAACTAAGCTGATTTACAACTGACTTTCAAGTTTTCATGCAATTTTACTTATTTAGAAACATGTCTTTTGAGCTTTAGTGGATGTTTGATTTTCCTGCTGTCTGTCTCTGATCTCACTTTTTTGGTGAGCTTACTCTCTGAACTCACTTTTTTTGTGAGGATTATCACCGAACTCACTTTTTCTCTGAGCTTAACTCTCTGAACTCACTTTTCCTGTGAGCTTACTCTCTAAGCTCACTTGTTCTGTGAGCTTACTCTCTGAGCTCACATTTTCTGTGAGCTTACTCTCTGAGCTTATCTTTGTGGAAGCTTTTAATCTGTATCTGACCTCACTTTTTTGTGTGCTTACCTCAGACTGTTGCTCACTGTCTTTGAGCTCAGTTTTTACGTGAGCTTACTATCTGAACTTTCTTGGTCTGTAAATTTCTTAACTGAGCTTCCCTCTGTAGAAGTTATAATAAGATTGCTGTCTGTCTCTGAGCTAACTTTTCTGTGAGCTTACTCTCTGAGCTTACATCTTTGGTAGAAGTTTACTAGAATGCTATCTGTTTTTGAGCTCACTTTCTCTGTGAGATTGTTTCTATGATGGAGTATAATTAGTCAGTCATCCATCTTTGAGTTCCCTTTTCTGTAAGCTTACCTCTGTAGAGGAGGAACTACCACATCTTCCACCTCATTCTGATCCTCGGATGCCAGACGTAGAGCCAGCTCTCGATCACGTCTCTCTTGTTCCAAGATCTCTTGTCTGGTAATCAACAAAAGATATCAATTAGAAAGCAATGTTTTCTCAATCAAAACACATTTATAATGCAAAATAATATTCTATATTGAAGCTTGAGATAGCTGAGTTGTTCTGAGGAAAAATCCAATTTACAGTAGTACAACTTTACTTACTGATACTGTCAACTACATTGTATTTATTCTCCCAAGAAAAGACTGAAAAGAAGTGCAGCAGAAATTTAGCTGCATAGAGAATGAGACTACCTTAAATACACGTGTATTATACCACCCACCTTCTCTTGTTCTCCTCTCTCTCCTTTGCTAGCTGTTCTGCCATCAGAGCCTGAGGATAAAAAATTATCTGGATATCAAGAATTTTAATAACTTCCCTTTTCACATTGTTTATAGAAATAAATATACACCCATTGAGTAAGAATATTCTTATACGAGCATATCCTGTACTGTAATATTCACCATAAACATTTTGTAACTTTAACCGGATTATTTTCTAAGTTAAGTTTACTGACATCTGCATGTTATAAGACTTGTGGGTCAAATAGTAACAAACTATGATGAGAAATTGTATTTAAGATTGGATACCTTCTGTTTCTTTTCTTCTTCCTCTCTTTTCTTTCTCTCTTCCTCTTCCCTCTTACGTTTGGCCTCCATTTCTGCTTTTCTGTAATTGAAAGATGCAAATGTTAAACACTACCAACACCCACAAATGTACAAATTAGTATTGCTAGCAAAATAATTTCACTTAGGTTTCAAAACCAGCAACAGCATTAATTTGAACTGAGATCACAAGACACTTACAGCCTTCTCTCTTCTTCCTCCTGTCTTTTCCTTCTTTCTTCTTCTTCCTTTCGTTTCTTTTCTCTTTCCATTTCCTCCTACATGTATAATAAAAATGGGGTAAAAAAAAACAATGAAAAAGAACAATGATACATTGAAACCTCAGCTACAGCTGACATAAATTTTGATACAAATCAATGCTCAGACGTAAATGTCTATTTATACAGCACCTGTATTTTTTGGAGCCTCTCCTGCGCTGCTTTGGTTTCTTTATCTATTAACACTGTACCTGTATTTTTCGGAGCCTCTCCTGCTCCGCCTTGATTTTCTCGTTCTCCAGTTTCTTCCTCAGATCTTGGAAAGTCTGATCCATCTGACTCAGCAGGTGATTCATCGTCCTCTGCATCTCTTCTGGGGAAATGTTTGTTGTCTGAAATCATAAACATAACACACATCATCTCACTTAACTGTATATTGTCAGATAATCATTTCATAGACTCATTTCATCTTATTTTTAATTCAAGTTCTCAATACTAAGATCTTGCTACTACAGTACTGTAGATCACCTAATTTTTCGACACTATTTTCGCAAGAAAAGAATTTTGGTGTGGTTATCATCTATACCAATAAAATATAGGCAAGAATGAAATTTCATAAGTAGCCCATCTGGTGTAATTAGGCAAAAGTAAAGTTCTTGCAAAAAGTCATTCAGCACAGTATTCTCCTAAACAATTCAGTCATTACCCTGATTTTATGAACAAAGTCCAGGAAGGCCTTTTCGATGTCCTTGGCTTGTTTGGTTGCCTTTTCTTTTTCCTTCTTCAGTTGGCTGATGATCTCCTCCATCTGTGAGAGCTGAGCCTGAGACTGTCTTACCTGTACAATCATCTCATACCTGTGAAGTAACAATAATTAAAAATATACTTGCCATATCCAAAGTAAATAACAACAGATTATACATGATGACAATCTCAAAGTTTGCTCTTGAACAGTGCCACTTTTAGCCTGTTTTCCAGCACTATTAACTTACTTAGGTCTGAATCTCCTGACATCTCTTCATTAACTTACTTAAGTCTGAATCTCCTGACATCTCTACATTAACTTACTTAGGCCTGAATCTCCTGACATCTCTACATTAACTTATTTTGGTCTGAATCTTCTGACATCTCTACATTAACTTACTCAGGTCTGAATCTCCTGACATCTCTACATTAACTTACTTTAGTCTGAATCTCCTGACATCTCTACATTAACTTACTTTGGTCTGAATCTCCTGACATCTCTCCACATCCTGACAGACTTCTGTAACGTGATGATCTGAGTTCTTCTCCAAAGAATCTTATTCTTCACTGAAAGATCAAACATGTATATAGTATAAAGAACCACTACAAAACCCGCAGTGTGGTGCTGGCATAGTATAACTATTGCTTGTTAAAAAAGTTCTATTATATTTTTCTCTTGCTTGAAAACAAGATCACTGTCAGACCCATCTGACAATTTTGTCAGCAAGTATAATATTAACATGTTAAGCAAGTTAATCAAAGTACAAAGTACTGTTCATGATTAAGGTCTGACTTACATTTGATTACTGAGAGTGCACACCACTGAGCTTTCTTCCATCGAGAACACAGGAGCCAGCGTTTGACCTTCTTCACTAACATGGCGAGATTTTCAGGGTCACTCTTCATAATCTGGTCAAATTCCGCAAATTTTCCAGGGCGGAAAAAGACTTTTGTGAGACCAAATTTGAATTCATTTTCATTCAATCCTAAAGCTTTAAACAGGGCCTGTAATAAAACAAAGGAATCTTGTCAGAATATACTGTTCTGAAGCAATAGGCTAACAAATACAAAGGAAAATAATAAAATTTGAATCAGTGGATAATTTTGTCAGAGTGAGATGGTAGGTAATCAAGGCAAAAAGCATTGCATTCATATAATGCCAATATAGCATTCAAATATTGGATAAATATCAGGTAATCAATTAACGCTTCTAAAACACTTTTTGTGTACATACTTTACAGAAAAGTCTAGGGTCCAGACGAGCTATATCAGCAGGCATGTATTTCTTGTACATATTGTAGAGATCAGCAAACTGTGTGCGAGAGGGGAACCCCTGCTGCATCAGCTCCAACACAGAACCCATACCTGCAATACATTGATAAATATTGTAAAATTTTTCTTTTTTAAAATCTTGTTTGATGGAAATTATACTAGAAAGACGAGACAACTAAAAGTTGACTTTTAATTCCTTACCTGAGCATTCAAGCTGGCTTAAAATTTGCCCTCCTTCGAAGAGATGGTCAACCATCTTTACATTGGGCTTAATACATCTGATGAAATTTGTTCCCTAATACAAGAATAAGCACAGGTCATGAATTTAGAAAACTCATTACACAATCTTTTAAATTGAGGCAAATTGTGTTCAACAAAATTATGTGTGAAGATTTTAGAGTGGTCTCCCTTACTTAATTCACACTTACCGTACTCTTGAGTTTCTCCATCAGAGTTTGCAGCTGAGATCTGAACTTGCTTCCCACACTAATAAAGTTAAGTTTCCCTGAGGAGACTTGGATTCCCTCAAACATTGTCTTCAGCATCTTGTTAGAACTGGTTTGTATCAGGAACTCAAGCGAAGCATGAAGGGCATCATTGTTTTTCTCTAAGAACAAATTCTGTGAAGAACAGAGAAACATACATGTCAAAAATGCAAAACCTGAACATAAAATCAGTGTAAAATTACATATCAAACAATAATTGAAAACTGCGAGAAAACAAATCACAAAATATCTTTTGATGTCTACATTTTCATCTTTCAGACAGATGATGAAATGCAATTTGACTAAAGGAATAAATGTGAACATTTATATTAACTAACTTTAACTCTTCCTATTTCAAATCTATGAATTCAGAAATCTCTCTTTAATCTGTATCACATTGTTTCATTGTCTTCTAAACAAAGTACGAAGCTTTGTAATAAGACATTATACTTACAGTGTGATAACAGACAGCTCCAGCAAAATGGCGGATCAGGAATCCCTCGTCATCTCTAACATCCCGGTGGATCTTTAACTTGGACTTTCTGGGCAACTGAAAGAAAAAAAGTTTAATATACAGTCAAACCTCATCATCGCAAACTTGATGGAACCAAAATTTTAAATTTTGAGATAATTGAGGATTCAAAATTATGAGGGTAAAAAACATAAGGAGTAGTCAAGACCTCCAAAAAAGTGACTTTGACATATTCCTGGTATTTGAAATGTGTTCCAGATAAGAAAGTTCAGCTGAATATCAAAGTCCTGAATTGTATTAAGATTAGGAAGAATTGTTTCTCTTATGGATAGTATGATAGACACACACAATGCTACATGAACTTACACTAAGTCTGAAGTGTGTCTTGTTGCGGTTGTGGACCTCCATTGTGAAGTGCTCAGGTTTGGGTGTTGGCAGCTTACTCTCCTCATCAAGCAAATCAAAAATACCATTGGCTTTTGTCTCTATTAAGTCTTTTAAAACAAAGAAAAACAAAATATTAATCTTCTCTGCCACACTTACATTACCTATTATACAAGGAGAGGGTGTGCATAGGCTTTGCCTGTTGCCCAATCCTTATTGAATTACTCAATAAAATATGTTTAAATTAAATAATATGTATGTCATTTTACTATCCTTGGGGATTTGGATGCCATCAAGTTATTTATTTCACCAGGGATAGACATTAACTTTTAGATTCACTTGCCCTTCGGGCAAGTGATCCCATACTTTGACTTGTCCAAATGCAAAACTTTGTTGCCCAAAATTAGGAAAGAACTTTTGAAAAGAAGAAAATTATTAATTACTGTAAACGTTATGATAAGAAAAAATGTGACAAAATACACAACTGTCAATTTGGCAAGTTGAGCTACCTGAAAAAAATTTGATGCTGCATCTGTACATAAATATATACTACTGTACTTGTGAATTTAACCTTTTAATGCACTTTTTCATGCAGCAATAACCCTCCGTTTTCTTTTAATAAAATTCATATTGTTAAAGTTATTTTCAGTAGGATCCTTTTGTGAATCGCGACTTTCGGAGATAAATGTGAAGCAACGCTAAAGGAAGATAGTTGCTACGAAACATACATCTTATCTTGATCAGGATACTTCGTGTTACACTGTACTTATATTCTGTGCGTGAATAAATAATTTAATTGCCTAATAAGAAGTAGAGCGTATTTACTACGAAAGAAAATAACGTACCTGATTTTTAAATGAACAGTATAATCCAGAAATGTTACCAAGGAAATCTGAATGCAAAATCATTGTCATCCAGGTGCGTGTAAAAAGCAAGTTTTCAATTTATTGTGTTATCTATAAATTAATGTAAACTAAATAAATATGAACATTTGTATGAGAAAAAATTCACTTGCCCGATCAGACAAGTACGTCGACAATTTCACTTGCCCGAACTGATAATTTACTTGTCCCGGGCAATCGGACAACCGTTAATGTCGATCCCTGTTCTCTAATGAAAGCAATCAAATGCTAAAATAGCCAATACTTTTACATTTCTCCCTTATTTTATCATGATGGTTTCATATGCAAGTTCCCTCTAATGTAAAAAAGATTTCAATACATGGTTGAACATAATTTTCTAACTATATAATTCATATAAATTCACTATACCTATACAGTCCTGGTTGTCTGTCCATGTGATTTTCTTTACATTTAAACCTTCCTTCTCATACAGAATTTGTTCCTAGAAAAATATATTTTATATTGTTATATTCAATAAAGAATAGTCCTTATATTCTCTATATAGAGAAAAAGTCAACATAATTGATATAAGCTCCTCCAAAAAATATTGACGGTCATTTAATTTTCACTAGTGATTGACAAAGAGTTTTCCCACATTTGTACCGATTTGGATTCTGATTAACAGATCAATTTAATGTGACGTAATGATACTGTTGTGACTTCCAAACAACATAATGTCACAATAGAAAAACCAAGTAACACAATCAAGGCAAGATTCGCTAGCACTATAGGTCTACACTCAAGATGCAGATAATTTATTGAAAACAAAATACTATTTCATAGATTTGTTTTTCATATAACAAAACAATTATTGAGTGTGTTTTCGGGCAACATTGATTATGTTACATGCATCTTCCTTGGGATAATAATATTGCCTTCTGCTCCGCGTTGGGCAATATTTCATACCATGGAGGCTAACATAATCAATGTTGCCCGAAATCTAAGTCAATAATTGTATAATACATGTACAACATATAACCATTTAGACACATCAATGTGTAGGACCATTCACTCAATACATGTACTACCTTGATTTTAACTTGACATGCTTCTTCTCATTAGAGAAGCTGGGATTTCATAAGTGTATGGGTACATCTAGTAGGGGAATTCCCTAAATTCCTAACCAATTACATCATCAATTTGAGAGATGACAAGCTTACTACACATTCTTGGAACTTCTAGAATGGTATCTACACATAAATGAAAACAGGTAGCCTTAAGTTTATAATAAAAATAAGTCCATTTATGTGTGAAAATGTGGTTGTTGTACATTATATAGGATGTTTAATTTCTAGATCACTTATTACAACCATGTTTTGTTTACTAACTAAAATCAAACTGACATCACAAAACTACTAAATGATTGAAACAGAGACATTGATCACAGTGTACATGTTAGAGTTCATAAAAATCTCAACAGACAAATTACAAAAATGTGTACGTATACCTCAAAATATATGCACAAGCACATGTAGGGGTTCAAGTTTAAGATCTCAACTTCTCTATTAATTTAAAGGAACACTCTTTTACATATCTGATGTTAATTTTATATTTCATACATCAAAATTAATCTGAACTTTCAATGAATAATTAAGCTGATAATTAGGTGATAGTGATTTGGAGATGAGATGTTCTAGTGGCTTACGCAGTAAAAAAAGCATTGTTTTTACATGTAAGAGGCTACATATATTTTGCAAAATCTTAATATGCAAAATGGTAAAACAGATAATTTTATTAATAACAAGAATTCTCTTAACAAACGAGCATATTCTGATTTTGATAACATATTCTAATATGATGTGTTCATGCATGAATCTGGGATGTATTTTTATTTTCTTCTGATGAAAGAGGAAGACCAAGAGGTGTCCAAACCCATTCACCCTTCCCCCCCCCCAAAAAATAAAATAAAAACAAGAGGCCCATGGGCCACATCGCTCACCTGAGCACAGTGGCTAGGAAAAAAAGAAAAAATCAGTACAGTATTGAAAAGTTTACAGGGAGGGGGGTGTTGAATTTCAAACTACCTGATGATGCTTTCATATCAATATAACAAATGGCTTTGTTGTTCTTGAGCAGCAGATTTTTTTCCCATATATTCATTTGTAAAAATTTGATCCCCTATTGCGGCCCCACCCTACCCCGGGGGCCCTCATTTGAACAAATTTCATTCTACACTACCCAAAGATGCCTCCATATCAATTTGACTAATCATGGCTTTTCTGTTCTTGAGAAAAAGACTTTTTCCTATATATTCCTCTGTAAACTTTGATCACCCATTGTGGCCCCAACCTATCCCCGGGGTAATGATTTGAACAAACTTAAATCTTCACTATCTGAGGATGCTTCCATATAAATATGACCAATCATGGCTTTACTGTTCTTAAGAAGAAGAATTTTAAAGATATTTTCCTATATATTTCTATGTAAAACTTTGATCCCCCATTGTGGCCCCACCCTACCCCCGGGGGTTATTATTTGAACAAATTTGAATCTTCACTACCTGAGGATGCTTCCATATAAATATGACCAATCATGGCTTTACTGTTTTTAGAGATATTTTCCTATATATTTCTATGTAAAACTTGGATCCCTCATTGTGGCCCCACCCTACCCTTGGGGGTTATGATTTGAACAAATTTGAATCTTCACTACCTGAGGATGCTTCCATATAAATATGACCAATCATGGCTTTACTGTTTTTAAGAAGAAGATTGTTAGAGATATAATCCTATATATTTCTATGTAAAACTTGGATCCCCGATTGTGGCCCCACCCTACCCCCGGGGGTCATGATTTGAACAAACTACAATCTACACTACCTGAGGATGCTTCCATATAAATATGACCAATCCTGGCTTTGCTGTTCTTAAGAAGAAGATTTTTAAAGATATTTTCCTATATATATCTATGTAAAACTTGGATCCCCGATTGTGGCCCCACCCTACCCCTGGGGGTCATGATTTGAACAAACTTGAATCTACACTACCTGAGGATGCTTCCACAAAAATATGACCAATCATGGCTTTGCTGTTCTTAAGAAGAAGATTTTTAAAGGTTTTTTCTATATATTTCTATGTAAAACTTGGATCCCCCATTGTGGCCCCACCCTACCCCCGGGGGTCATGATTTGAACAAACTTGAATCTACACTACCTGAGGATGTTTCCATATAAATATGACCAATCTTGGCTTTACTGTTCTTTAGAAGAAGATTTTATAAGATATTTTCCTATATATTTCTATGTAAAACTTGGATCCACCATTGTGGCCCCACCCTTCCCCTGGGGGTCATGATTTGAACAAACTTGAATCTACACTACCTGAGGATGCTTCCATAAAAATATGACCAATCATGGCTTTGCTGTTCTTAAGAAGATTTTTAAAGATATTTTCCTATATATTTCTATGTAAAACTTGGATCCCCCATTGTGGCCCAACCCTACCCCCGGGGGTCATGATTTGAACAAACTTGAATCTACACTACCTGAGGATGTTTCCATATAAATATGACCAATCTTGGCTTTACTGTTCTTAAGAAGAAGATTTTTAAAGATATTTTCCTATATATTTCTATGTAAAACTTGGATCCCCCATTGTGGCCCCACCCTACCCCCGGGGGTCATGATTTGAACAAACTAGAATCTACACTACCTGAGGATGTTTCCACATAAGTTTCATCTTTCCTGGCCCAGTGGTTCTTGAGAAGAAGATTTTTAAATGATGCCATTACTTTCTCACTAATTCCTAATTATCTCCCCTTGAAAGAGGGCTTGGCCCTTCATTTGAACAAACTTGAATCCCCTTTACCCAAGGATGCTTTGTGGCAAGTTTGGTTGAATTTGGCCCAGTGGTTCTTGAGAAGAAGATGAAAATGTGAATAGTTTACAACAACAACAACAACGCCAATGCCAACGACAACGCCAACGACAACAACGACGACAGACAACGGACAAATTTTGATCAGAAAAGCTCACTTGAGCCTTTGGCTCAGGTGAGCTAATAAATTAAAAAAAGAAAAATAAAATAAAAATTTATAAGCAATTAAAAAAAAAATCTTCTCCAAACCCACAAATCATTTTTTTGGTGGTCTGTCTTTGTTGGGGGGGGGGGGGGGTTAAGTTTCTTTACTTCATGTATTTGACTCCCCATCCAAATTTTTAGGGGGGAACCAAATTCATCATTTTCTGCTCACTTTACTACAGAAATTTAATTTCTCTGAACATTGTACGGGGAAGGGAACCGAGGCTCAAGACCCCTTTGACCGTCTCTCTAGATTCACACATCGTTTTCAATTGTGAAAAAGAATGAAATACATACAAAAGTATGATGTATGAAATTATACTTCTTTGTGTTAAAATTTGGTTGTTGAATTTTGGTGTTTGGATGTATGAAAATAAGCATGAAAAGGTATGTCTCATATGGGCTTTTTCGTTAGCTAATGAATTGTTTCAGTAAATAACTGTATTGAAACAGAAAAAAAAAAGAATTTGAAAAAAATTTGAAAAGGTTTTGCTACCTTAATGTGAAGTGTATCACCAAGACTGAAGTTTTAAAGATACAGTCAAAGGTTAGTTAAAAAAAAGAAAAAAAAAAAGAAAAACAATTTACTGTCTGCACTCAGTTAAAAATTTGATTAAAAAAATATTGAGGAATTATTAAGTATACCTCTTTAAGAATCCTCTCATTGAAGAATTGTTGAAGTTTTTCATTACAGTAGTTGATACAGAACTGCTCAAAACTGTTTACTTGGAAATACTCTAGAAAACACAGCATCATTTCTAATTCACAAGATCAACAACTATTGATTTAAGAATTGTTACAACAATTTCACCTGTCCAATGAAAAATTTCAAATGGTAGACCAAAATTTAGAATTTTTCTTTTCAAACTGAACACCTTTCTGATCACAGACACATTTTGTTGCTATTTCTCTCATCAGTATTTTTTTCCTGCGGATTTTGATTGCAAAAACATATCATAAACTTATCATTCTAAATACAGATCAAAGTGGAGATCATTTTTAAATCTTATAAGTATATTTCATCATAATATTAATCTGATAATTACTGATTTTCTTAAAATAAAGTTCAACCAATTTTCATGTCAGTTTAGAATATATTTCCTTACCAAACCCAGCAATGTCCAGAAGGCCTATGTAGCTAACAGTAGAGGAAAATGGAATAGCCTTGTTGACACTGGCCACGATGTAATCAAACAGTCTACTGTAGATAGATTTTGCGAGGGCATCTCGGGCACTAGCAGCTTCTCCAGACTTCAGTGGAACTCTGAAAATAATTAAATGATTAGTTATAGTAGGACAGAACTACACATATGCATAATAATAATTTTTTTATGGCCCCATAATCTGAGATTAAGGCATATAGTTTTTGGTCTATCTGTTTGTCCTTTTGAACTTTTAGTGCTAGGGCTTCTATATGTGTATTCCTAATGACAAGACCTTTCTTTAGGTTTTTAACTTTTTTGACCTTGATTTTTGAGTTTGACCTTCTTTTTGAAAAACATCAATCTTGCCAATCTTTTTCTGAACTGTTGCTGCTAGGTCTTTCATATTTCACATGTGTATACCTAGTCATAAAACCTTTCTTTGGGTTCTATAATATTTTACCTCTTGACAATCAAGTTTGACCTACTTTCAAAAAAAACCTGAACCTTTGCCAGGAATTACCATAAGTTTGCATTAGTGTTTTATAAATGTATCTTGTTTAATTAGCTATGGTCAATCAGATTTTATTCCTACCAAGTAATGCAGGCCACAATTTTTTTTCATCATGACCAACCTGTGTATATAATTTGATGAATTTAAAAGATTTTAATGTCATAAAATCTTCAAAAAAAAAAAATGCCTTGTATACAATTGAAAAACCGAAAACTACTACAATCAAGAGACAATTTAACTATCATTGTTAATCTGCAAATAAAGTTTAATGATCAAGTTTTAATAGTGTAGAAAATTAAACACAGTTATCAGAAGATGCCAGTGCAATAACCTTAAGATACAAATTGGCAAACATTTTCAATTCAAACATTTACAGCAGTCAAAATATAAACTACCTTTTAACTAAACTAATGTCTATTCATTTAATTATTACTCTGTAATTGTCATTTAATTTTTTTAAGTTTAGAATGTCAATGAGTTGGATAGATTCTGTGTCCAAGTTATTTTAATTCATTGTTCAATAAATACAAATGAAAGATTTTAAACATTTAAACACCTATAGATCCCCATTGATACCATGAACACATAGATCACAGATCAAGGCTTTAGTTTAGAACAGGAATTGATAGCTCAGTTGGAATCTACATCATACCTGTACTATATACTACATAGACTTAAGTCTTTATACCTTTAAACACCTATTGATTCCCATAGATACCATGCACATACAGATCACTAAGATGTGGGCATAAGTTCTAAACAGGATTTGACAGCACTGTTGGAATTTACATCATATCTGTACCAAGTAAGGCTGGTTTTGTTTTTTTTATCTTTTTTTTATAATATCAATTAACACAGCTGATAAAAAAAAATTACCCAAGCAAATAATATAATAATAATAGATGGTTTTTTATTTATTCTTTACAGAGAAATTTTGTTTATTAAAATTCCAATGGACCCTAGGTTCAGCGCCCAGGATGTTCTGCGCTGTGACCTGTGTGAGATTCCTGTTCCTCCAATGTACTGTGACTTTTGTTATGTCAGACTCTGTAAAGCTTGTGTAGGGGAGCATCTCTCAGATTTATCTAAAGAACATAAAGTGGAGTCATTCAAACAAAGAAGATCTACACAAAATTTCTCGAAATGTTCCACACACAAAAGCAAGCCTTGTGAACTCCATTGTGCGAAATGTGACATTCCAGTGTGTTCCCTTTGTATATCGGGCAAACATAAAGGGCACACATTCCTGGACATTATTCAGATATTTAATGACAAAAAGGAAGAAATGAAAAATGATCTTCAAGAATTGGAAAAATGTTTACATTCTAAATATGAAGGGATTGCTTCAGAAATTGGTGTTGAAAAATCAGGTCTTGATGGACAGTATGGGAAACTGACAACAGCTGTCATCAAACAAGGAGAAGACTGGCACAGAGAAATTAACATCACTGTCAACAAACAGAAATCTGAAATTGATGAGATGAAAACTAAGCACCTGGCTGCTCTAAATAAACAGGAAAAAGATATTAAACAGATTACTTCTAATGTAAAACAGAGTATTCTTGATCTGAAGAAAATACTGGACTCCAATGATGTCTCTTTAATCTCTGTGTACATATCCAGGAATGCTGAATTCAGAAGTTTACCTCCTAAAGTCAATGTTTCATTACCAAGTTTCTCTCATAAGAAGATCAACACAGAACAGCTCCATCAAATGTTTGGTTCTCTGTCAGCATTATCCATTACAACAGAAAAACATGGCCACACAATGAAGACACCAGAAGCTGTATCCTGTCCTCCAGTCAAACCACTGCTTGATGAACCAAAGCTCATCACCACCATAGACACTGGGTATAAATATCTATACAGTGATACCTGTCTCAGTGATGAAGAAATCTGGACATGTGGAGAAGACAAAATCATGAAACTCTACAACCTCCAGGGCAAACTACTGAAGTCAATCAAAACCAAGTCAAGGAACATACCACGTGACATAGCAGTGACAAGGAGAGGAGATCTAGTTTATACTGACCCTTATAGAAGAACTGTAAACATAATGAAGAATAGGCAGATACAAGAACTGATCAGACTACAGGGGTGGAAACCTGACTATGTCTGTAGTACCTCCTCTGGTGACCTCCTGGTTACCATGAACAGTGATGATGGAGAACAAACAAAAGTTGTACGTTACTCTGGTTCCACAGAAAAACAAACAATTCAGTTTGATAGTGAAGGTAAACCTCTGTATTCATCTCACTACTTTAAATACATCAGTGAGAATAGGAACCTGGATATCTGTGTGGCTGACTATGGAGCCAGTTCAGTAGTGATGGTTAATGAGGCAGGAAAACTCCGTTTTAGATACACTGGTCATCCCTCTACTACCAAGGAAACATTTTATCCATACGGCATCACAACAGACAGTCAAAGTCAGATCCTGACAGCAGACTGTGACAATGACTGTATCCACATCCTAGATCAGGACGGACAGTTCCTCCGTTACATTGATAGCTGTGATCTACAGCTTCCATGGGGTTTATGTGTAGACACCAGAGACAACCTTTTTGTGGCTGAGTTTTTCAGTGATAAAGTGAAGAAAATCAAATATATGTAAACAAACTGTTTTTAAATAAAAGGAATCAGAACACAATTTCAAAACAACAGCATCTTTTATACACAATCAAACTTCAGACTGAGACTGAGGCTTTGTTTCCTGCATTGTTCTTGCAATCCAGATTCTGTCTAATCCGGCCAAACTTTATGCAACTGGCTGTATCCGGTTTAGACAAATTGTACTGTATATATAAGTAGGTTTTTCTGCCATTAATTGTATCTATTTAAAAATTACAAGTTAAATATAAACTTCATTGCTACAGATAAAGAAAATTATTCTTTTATATCATATATATATATAAAAAATTAAACTGGACTTCCTGTACAAACACTCAAAATGCAATTTTACGAATTTCTCCGTATATTGTTCATCAGATATCAATTATGGGAAAATATTTTGCATTCCATATATCAATTAAAATCAAAAATTTCATGCAGGTTAATGATTTCACAAGTGTTGGACACATCTCAGTGAAACAATTTGTCATACTGGTTTGTGGCAATTTCAAACTCACTAAGAATCATATGCCATCATTACCTCAATGTAAAATTAAACTGGAAAAATGTGAACTGATGCTTTGCTTCTGATCCTGGTACAGTATTTTCTGGTGTAAATCACTTTTTATTCGTGATAACTTTATTTTTGCATAAATAAGCGAGACAGTCTGCTCACAAAAATTTTATTCTTGCCTATATTTTTATTTGCATAGGATATATATAACAAAAAACAGCATTCTTAAAAAAAATTTTCTTGCTTGTAAATACCAAATGTGTAACTCTCAAAAATAAATTAAATATTGTGAAAATTTGTTGATCTACAATACATCTACTTCCTTAAAAATCAGTATAAATTCTCATATAAAAAAGTCAACACATGTCTTCACTTACTTGATGGCTGTGCCTTTAGATCCACCCCTAGCTGTCTGCATGATCCTGGTGGTCAGACTTTCCTGTAGCTCCTCCTTGTTCAGACCCAGGAGTGTGGAGGCAGTGGACAAGGAGGTCTCTGATGATGAGCCAACCTTACAACCACCTGTTGTATAAACGTCAATATTTATTTTTTAATTCAATACATATGATGTCACACTGCTATTATCATGGAACAAGAGGCCCAAGGGCCTTAACGGTCACCTGAGTATAATACAACAATTTAGAGGATCCCTAGAGTATAAAATGAACTGAAAGGTGAAACTTTGTTGCCCAAAAGCAAGAAAAATAGGGTGATAGGGATCAACAAAATAATTAGTTTAGTATTCATAAACAGTTCATAAATTAGGTTCAAATCTGTTCCCAATTTATCACTATCACCATACAGTACATTAACAAACTATCAGTGCTTCTGTACTATTTAAATTCCTTGTGGAGTTCAATTTGTTTCAATAATATCCAGGAGTAGAGAAGAAGATTTTCAAAGAAATAATGCACTTTCACTATATGATCTATATATCCCCACCCTAGCATTAGAACCCCTGACCCTGGGGACATGAATTTCACAATTTTGGTAGAGTCACCCTTGCTTATCATAATTATGTATTCAATTTGTTTCAATAATATCCAGGAGTAGGGAAGAAGATTTTCAAAGAAATAATGCTTTTTCACTATATGATCTATATAGCCCCGCCCTAGCACCAGAACCCCTGACCCTGGGGCCTTGAATTTCATAATTTTGGTAGAGTCACCCTTGCTTATCATAATTATGTATTCAATTTGTTTCAATAATACCCAGGAGTAGGGAAGAAGATTTTCAAAGAAATAATGCACTTTCACTATATGATCTATATAGCCCCGCCCTAGCACCAGAACCCCTGACCCTGGGGCCTTTAATTTCACAATTTTGGTAGAGTCACCCTTGCTTATCATAACTATGTATTCAATTTGTTTCAATAATACCTAGGAGTAGAGAAGAAGATTTTCAAAGAAATAATGCACTTTCACTATATGATCTATATATCCCCACCCTAGCATTAGAACCCCTGACCCTGGGGCCATGAATTTCACAATTTTGGTAGAGTCACCCTTGCTTATCATAACTATGTATTCAATTTGTTTCAATAGTATCCAGGAGTAGAGAAGAAGATTTTCAAAGAAATAATGCACTTTCACTATATGATCTATATAGCCCCGCCCTAGCACCAGAACCCCTGACCCTGGGGCCTTGAATTTCACAATTTTGGTAGAGTCGCCCTTGCTTATCATAACTATGTGTTCAATTTGTTTCAATAATACCCAGGAGTAGAGAAGAAGATTTTCAAAGAAATAATGCACTTTCACTATATGATCTATATAGCCCCGCCCTAGCACCAGAACCCCTGACCCTGGGGCCATGAATTTCACAATTTTGGTAGAGGGCTTAATGCTTATTACAATCATGCCAACAGTTTGACTGCTTGATGTCCAGGAGTAAAGAAGAAGATTTTTAAAGATTGCATTAATTTTGGTGGTTTTAGCCCCACCCCTCAGGCCCCAGGGGGGCAGGGACCATGAAATTCATAATTTTTGTTCCCCTTCACCCATAGATGCTATATGCCAAAATTGGTTGAAATTGGTTGAGCGGTTTCAGAGAAGAAGCTGAAAATGTTCAAATGTTAACGCACGACGCACGATGGACGACGGACGACGCACGCCAACGGACAAAAACGGATAGCAATAGGTCACCTGAGTGACTCAGGTGACCTAATAAATACTAAATAAATAATTCTTCATTTTATTGTTGACATTAATGTTGTAGAAAATGATCATGATCATGAGATTTTTAAAGATTTTTTTACTGTATATTTTGCTACCCTATATTAGCCTCACCCTACCGGGATTTGAACAATTTAAATGTTTACTATCTGCATGAGGATGCTTATAAATATCTATATGACTAATAATGGCCCTGCTGTTCTTTGAGAGGAAGATTTTTTTCAAATATTTGTGTCCTAGTAGATACCCACATTAGGTTAAATGAATTGAAGGGGAATTTTAACCAAGATATGTTCCCTTACCTTTAGTGTCATCCATATTTTCTTCAAACATGATGTTTCCCAGGTGTAGAACTGAAGCCACCAGTGTGTAGATAGAATGCTTATCCTCGTTAGAAACCCCCAGGTGAGTCATGGCACTGTCACACACCTGGAAATCTCGGACATCATCCAGGACCGGATCATGAAGACTGCCCTGCTTTAAGTACTGCAAACAGAGGGAATGGTACACTGTCAAAATACAGTTAAATAGTCACTCTTATAACTAACATGCCTCAATTTGCAGAGTGAATGAGAAAATGTCAAAGTAGAGAGGTAGCATATATATTTATATGTTCATGTACTTTAATCAATTTGCAGTGTCCTCAACAAATAATGTATCTTATGGATAATATATCTTAAATGCATGGTGTCAAATTATTGTCAAATCCAATACATAAGTCCATGATTTTTACATTTTGAAATATTTTGAAATTTTGAAATCATTATTACAATTACTGACTTCTTTACTATTAACATATTTCCACTTCATAGGTTTTACCTTGAAAAATTAGCTGAAAGTAAATACCACTGATTTTTTTTTTTATAAATGTGTACAACTTCATCACAAAACTTTTCTATATTCCACTATGTACATACCATTTGACTTTTTCTGTCTTTCCCCAGTTTCTTGTCATTTTCCCGGGTACAGAAGTATTGTGTACATCCTCTGTTTAAATACTACAGCAAAACAGGGAAATACAATACCAAACATCATGGATAATACAGTACAGTACTAAGTATGGTAAAATACTGCAATGGGGAAATGCAGGGTTATCCCAAAGAATACAAATACAATACACAGAATTCATCCTTAAAGCATTTCCTTGGTTTATCTAAAATTAATGTAACTTAAGACATTTTTTTTTGGGGGGGGGGGGGGATTGTTCCTCCCCAATATGGAAGTATGATCTACAGGTGGCTTATAGTGTCACTTTGACATAACTTATCTTCCTTTTTCCTCTGCATATTTACTGTAACTAAAAATCCATGACTTTCTAAGGTCAAGAACTGATACACCACTATATCTATCTATAATATAACTGGTAAGGCTTCTCTGTCTAAAGGGACATGATTGTGCTTCTTTCAATGTATACAAATACATTTATTTTGGATCCTTAAATTCACAAAAAACTGAACAATGAGGTATTTGATATTTTAAATTCTATAATCGTCATGCAAATTTTGTAAACATGAGAATTTAACTAATACCAATTCTAAAGGGGGGACCACAGAAATGACAACCAATCTTACATGGAAATGGTCTGGTGAGGCCAATTTTAGTTGATTGCGTAGGTCCTCCGGGGCCCCGGCACAAAGTCGGTAGAAAATGTGGTAATTCCGTTCCTCACGACTCTGACTTGTAACTCGCGACTTCTCCAGTAGATAATGGGAGATAAATCCTCCAGCTACCAAGTTCTGTACAATACACAGAAACCGTTTTAGAAAGATGGTTATCAGTTTATGATATGAACTATCTTAGATAGTTAAAACTTTAAATGTAACATTTAAGTAAACTTTTAAGTACCATAAAAATGTTAAAGCAGTGACTAAATTTATTTCTAAGAATACACAATCATATTTTTCTGATCCACATTTTATTTCATTAAAATTCAATACCTTTTTGTGTATAGTTATAACTCATAATCATTGCATGATTATAATTTTAAATTTACTGACATAACTATCCTGAAATATACTGAAATAATTATCATGTAGATTGCTATGTCGACTATATCTGAAGTTAAATTCTGTTTATTATGTAATGTATATACCGGTATATATATATATATATATATATATATATATATATATATATATTGCATGCCCATGCATACACACTGTAATAATATTAACTATTATTATTATAATACAATTGTGTCAAACCCAGTACACACAACCTGTATCTCTTGAAATCAGGCCATTATCAATTTCCATTTATCCTCAAGAACTACTTTTCATTTAGTGATCACGTATTATAGAAATATCACCACAATATCATCAGAGAACTCTGCTTGTAGATATACAATATACCATATAAGTGGAAGTTTTAGCAAGATGCAAATTTAGCCATTTGTCCTTAAAAGTCTGTTACCAAAATAGTATTTAATTTTAGGGAGAAGTAATTTTAGTGATTTTATGATGCCTATATAGAAATAATGGTTACCTCCAATGCAGAATTAATTGAAACAATTTTAGTGACCTCAAAACCCTTGCTAAAAAAGCTAAAATTGTATTCTCGCTAAAAATTCTGCTTATACTGTATTATGTTTTCTATTTATATAAAAAAGAAAGATATCTAGAAATTATTCAAGTTAGTCTTGGTTTGTAAAAAGGAAAAGTATGTGCACTGTAATGAAACTAATATAACACTGCATCTCATATTAGAGCTTGTAAAATATCCAGGTGGTGAAATTTACTGTAGTGCCTAACATCAATGCAAAACATAGCTTAGTGAACTAAAATACACTACAGTAAGAAACACATTTAAAACAAATACTTAACTCTCTAGAAACATCCAAGATCACTCACAATTTTTTTTATATAGTAACTACCTGTCAGTTAATTTCTTATTATTAATTCATATGAAGAAGACAAATACTGTGTATTAATCAGACACAAATATTCACTACATGCCTGGTTGTGAATCAGTGATGACCTTTTTAACTATACTTACATCTCTACATGACTGTTTAAAATTAATAACAGTTAGAAAATATTCACATGAAGTTTTAGAACCAACTTTCAATAAAAGCGTGACCAGGCATGCAAAATAATAACTGACCTTTTAAATTTAATTTCTTTAATTTCTAGACAAACTTTATCAGAAAAAACTTGTATACTAAAACATCTTATTTTGATTCTCCTACATGTTCATAAGGATTGATTTTGTCCATACATTTTAATGGACATATCTATTATATGTAATAATGTCCATTGAATCCACAAAAGCAGTACAGGAGTTATTCCCCTTTATGGAGATTCCCATTTTCACTTCTATGTGAGCTTATGATTTTCAAAATCCAACAATAAAGTACTGAGCTATTAAACAAATTTCCTGACTGTTCACTGTACATTTAATTTATACATGTATGTTGTCTTGCTAATTCATGAACTCTAAAGAAATAAATAATGTACTTAGGCTAAGTAAGGTACAAGGAACATTCAAAAATTATACACGTCAAGATTTCAACCAAAATTAGTAGAAAGACTATTAAATAAATGTAATTTCAGGCACATATAATCCCCTTTCAAAGTGGGAGGGGCAGCTCCAAAATAATTGACATATTTGACATGTCAAGCAAAAAAGTGTCTGAAAAACTTTGACAAGCAAACCCCTAAACTTGATTTTGTACCATGGAGTACAGAGGAACACTATGAAAAACAACAGTTTGTTAAGATATTGATGAATTTGATCATATCGAATCTGTAAGAATTTTTTTAATGACAATGAGCTTGTAAAATTTTTTAACAAACATCTAGAAATACAATTTGTAAATCTACTACTACCATATGCTTGTTTTTTTTCTATTTTTTTTTTTTTTTTTTTTACATTTTTCTGTCAAATGTGCATAATACATGTATTCAGCTTGTCCGTGTGTTAATTTTTGAACAGCACTTGTACAAGTGCTAAGAGGGTAAAGAAAAATCCCTTTCACCAGAATTCTTTAATTTTAACAATATAAATGTTTAATATTAATGTAAATATAAATATGTAACTATATATTAATAATAATACAGAAATAATACACTCCAAAGATTAGACTAGGTATAATATATATACAGTAGTATATAAGTATCAAACTCAAGCCTGCACACCAATACATACTTGTTGTTTCATGGCCTGAAAAATAACAGCTTTTACTCTTAACATTTTTTTTTCTTATTTAAAATGTTCTTAAACTGATCTTAATTATCACTAGTCAGTTTTCATCTTAATTAATATCTAGGCTGGCTAATTTGGATATTTTTATAAAATGTAGCAAATAAGGCTATGTCTCTTATATCTTTGGCTTTAGCATAGTGTGTAAAAAGTTGCCGATCTTTAAAAAATTTTCAGAATATAAGGATGTTAATTAAAACCTTATTTTTTTCCTATCAAGATATGGCAAAATAAAGTTAACCAACTGTCCACAACAAATGATTATATATAACATTCAATACCTTACTAGATTTTTTTTTGTATGTGTAACAGTAAAACACACTTATAGGGAACACGCTTTTAATGAATCGATGGTTAGAGCGAAGTGGCTTTCATTCCCCATTTAAAACATATTATAAACTTAATGGATCAAACAAATAATGTGTATAACAAAGTAAAATTGTCCAACCCTGGCACTTCATTATAAGCATGTTTTACTGTATACATAATATTCAATCAAAAAGTTTTCCTATAATCAGATAGACAATATTTTTAATAAATAAATGTGTTTTATTCATTGATGGAAAATCTTACAGACAGAAAAAGATTGAATTAAGTCTGAATTTCTTCACAGAAATGATCAAGTAGTACAGAAAAATGGTTGTAAAATTTTAAGCAAACTAAAAATATTTCCACCAGTTAAAATTTCCTAGCAATCAAAACAGTTTATTTCTACCCCTGTCATCATGAATTTAGCTAACAAAAAAAGATCACAATCAATCATAATTTTAACATTTCAAAGTTCAAGAAACTTTATATTTGAAAGTTTTTTTTTAAATCAGCCTTAAAAAATTCAGTTTTTCTCACTCGGTGGTTTGATAAAAAGAACCATTGTCTATCAGTAAACATTGGTATATGAATATCATACCTTGTTGTCAAAATGAATTTCGATGAATTTCCCGAATCGACTACTGTTGTTGTTTCTGACAGTCTTGGCATTTCCAAATGCCTCCAGCAATGGGTTGGCTGTTAAAAGGAAAGAGTTCTTTACAAATCATGTCAATTTTCAAGCAGGTCAATTTGACTGATAAAGAATTCTGTAGATGAGCATTTTTAGGACTTTTGCGATTTGCAAGACATACAAAAACATTGTACTTTTTTAATAATACATATTGTCCTCCCTCAAATTACTCCTTAGATTTGAGAACTCTTGTTCACAGTGATATCAAATATGTGACCCCTCCCCCTTCAATGTCCCCTTTCCAACCCTCTAATTTTTCTTTTTAATTCGTAGGGATACTTATTCCTCTGAATTCATTCTTAATGATGTAATGACATTAACTGTTTCTTTCCTTAATCACACCTGAGTATCCTCTGTTCCAATCGATTAATGTGAGCCCCCAGGACTCAGCGAGATACTTCTTTCCACTGAGTTTTTACCTATGTCATGACATTAACAATCTCTGCACAAACTTACAGTCGAGTTCTACACTAACTTACACTCGAGTATCCTCTGTTCGAGTTGATTAATATGAGCCCCCCAGGACTCTGTGAGATATTTCAGAATGTACTTGGTGGACTCGGTCTTCCCGGCCCCGGACTCTCCTGAGACAATGATGGACTGACTCATCTTGTTCACCTTCATATCGCGGAACGCCTTGTCAGCTGGAGTAAATACAGAAAAATTGTCACCAAACATCTTATCTATCTGAATATATTTACTTAAGAAAACAAAAAAAATTGTTACCAAACATCTCATCTACCTGAATATATTTACCTAGGAAAACAAAAAAAATCACAGAAAATAATGATTAATTTTAAAAATTAATCATGATTTTCTGTGATTTTTTTGTTTTCAGTTCAGAAAAAATGAAAAAAAAAATTCGTAATTCATATGTTAATGGTGATGTAATTTGTTCAAAGAAAGATAACTCCTTTTTTTTTTTAACTTAAACTCCTTCCTGAGTTGGAACAAGAGGCCCAAGGGCCTTAACGGTCACCTGAGTATGATAAAACAATTTCAAGGATGCATAGAGTATAAAATGAACTGAAAGGTGAAGCTTTGTTGCCCAAAAGCAAGAAAAATAGGGTGATCATGATCAACAAAATAATTGGTCTTAATATTCATTAACAGTTCATAAATTAGGTTCTAATCTGTTCCCCATTTATCACTATCACTATACAGTATATTAACAAATTATCAATGCTTCTGTACTATTTTAATCCTTTGTTGAAATCTCTTACATTGGCATCTCTTGGTCTTTGATGAATATTTAATAAGACAAGTTATTTTTGTCTCATTTTTATTTATCTACTACTTACAAGTCTATCTGATCATTAAAACTATGAAAGTACTTTTGTATTATACAATAAAAGTTTTTGCATAATTCTCTATTTACCTTTCAAGTACATTATTTACAGTGATAAATTATCAAAAGTAAATGGCAAAGGGGAATAACTCCTCTCAGTAGAATACAAACTAATAGAGCCCTGGGCAGGACCAGAACACTTGACCAAATGGTCCAGATGTTCAAAAATCTGGTAAAAATACCCTTCCTTATAAAAACTTTTACTCTGTTTGCCTCAGATATGCCCAGGTGCGGAGAAGATTTTTAAATAAATAATGCATTTTTACTACAGATTCACTATATTATCAATAGAGCCCCCCCCCCCCCCCAACCCCCCACCCCCAAAACACCAGAGCTTCTGACCCTGGGACCATATGTTTGCTCATCATCACTTTGTTTATCTGCTTAACACTAAGGAGCAAACAGGATTATTTAATAGAATTAATGCATTTTCACTAAATTATCAAGAGCCCCACCCTCACACCAGCACATCTGACCCAGGGGTCATGAAATTCACTACTCTGGAAGAAGCACACTTGCTCATCATAACTATACACTTAGCTTCTTTGCTTTTTTAACCAGAAGAAGAAAAGAATATTTTCAAAGAAATTTTGCTTTTTCACTTTATAATCAATAGAAGCCCCCCCCCCCCCCCCCCCCCCCACCAGAACCCTTAAACCTGGGGTCATAAAATTCACAATTTTGGAAGAGGCATCCTTGTGTATCATAACAATGTACTTTAGCCTGTTTAGGCAATACCCAGGGGCAGAGAAGAAGATTTTCAAAGAAATAATTCACCTTCACTATAGGATCTATATAGCCCCGCCCTAGCACCAGAACTCCTGTCTCCAGGGCCATGAATTTCACAATTTTGGAAGAGGCATCCTTGCTTAACATAACAATGTACTTAGTTTGTTTAAATAATACCCAGGTGCAGAGAAAAAGATTTTTAAAGAATTAAAACATTTTCACTTTATAATCAATAGAGCCCTGCCCTAACACCAGAACCCCTGCCCCTGGGGCCACGAATTTCACAATTTTGAAAGAGGCATCCTTGATTATCATAACTATGTATTTAATGTGTTTCAATAATACCCAGGAGTAGAGAAGAAGATTTTTCAAAGGATTAATGCATTTTCACTATATAATCAATAGAGCCCCACCCTAACACCAGAACCCCTAACCCAGGGGCCATGAAATTCACAATTTTGAAAGAGGCACTCTTGCTCATCATAACTATGTACTTAGTTACTGAATTTAATACCCAGGAGCAGAGAAGAAGATTTTCAAAGGATTAATGCATTTTCACTATATAATCAATAGAGCCCCGCCCTAACACCAGAACCCCTGACCCAGGGGCCATGAATTTCACAATTTTGGAAGAGGCACTCTTGCTCATCCTAACTATGTACTTAGTTAGTTTATTTAATATCCAGGAGCAGAGAAGAAGATTTTCAATGAATTAATGCATTTTCACTATATAATCAATAGAGCCCCGCCCTAACACCAGAACCCCTGCCCCTGGGGCCATGAATTTCACAATTTTGAAAGAGGCACTCTTACTCATTATAACTATATACTTAGTTAGTTTATTTAATACCCAGGAGCAGAGAAGAAGATTTCCAAAGAACTAATGCATTTTCACTATATAATCAATAGAGCCCCGCCCTAACACCAGAACCCCTTACCCTGGGGCCATGAATTTCACAATTTTGGAAGAGTCACTCTTACTCATCATAACTATATACTTAGTTAGTTTATTTAATACCCAGGAGCAGAGAAGAAGATTTTCAAAGAAATAATGCACTTTCACTATATGATCTATATAGCCCCGCCCTAGCACCAGAACCCCTGACCCTGGGGCCATGAATTTCACAATTTTGGTAGAGGACTCAATGCTTATCACAATGATGCCAACAGTTTGACTGCTTGATGTCCAGGAGTAAAGAAGAAGATTTTTAAAGATTGCATTAATTTTGGTGGTTTTAGCCCCACCCCTCAGGCCCCAGGGGGGCAGGGACCATGAAATTCACAATTTTTGTTCCCCTTGACCCATAGATGCTATATGCCAAATTTAGTTGAAATTGGTTGAGCGGTTTCAGAGAAGAAGCTAAAAATGTTCAAATGTTAACGCACATCGCACGACGCACGCCAACGGACAAAAACGGATAGCAATAGGTCACCTGAGTGACTCAGGTGACCTAATAAAATAGTGAACTAAATGATTGCTTTCTTGCATCTACAATTGAATGCCAAAATGACTATTGCTATAAACACATCACATTTACAATTTATTTTTTAAAGAATTAATTAAATAATTATGCATTAAATGATACAAGTACCATTAAAAACAGGTTGCACAACTTAGAAGTGTACATAATCTTTTCATAAATTAAAAGAACATAAATCATCAAAAAATAAAATTATTTAAGACTGTGTACACCTACCTATAGCATAGACGTGGGGAGGAAGTGTCCCCAGTGACTTCCCTTTGTATTTCTTGATCGTTGTCGAGGTATACAAGTCTGGGATCTCATAGTATGGGTTAATGGCTATCAGAATGTTGGCAGTGTATGTCTGTAAGTAATAATCAAAAATCAAGCAAAATGATGACATTAATGTGCGAATATACACGTACATAAATCAAGATTTGTCTTTAGAACTTCAAAAATGTGCATAGGCGGAGGGGCAATAAATAAAATCAAATTTTCTTGAGTTAAACAAAACTGCAAAGGATACATGTAGACTAGAGAATAACTGGCTAAAAACTGGACTTTAACAATAATTCTAGATTAATTCTAGATTTATTTCATGAAATTTAAACAACAAACTTAAGTGCATGATAAATACCAAAGGTTATAATCATTTTTTTTTTACTAATAATTTAATTTTGTTTGTATTCTAGCCTCTGATTGGTTAATATCCAAAAAGGAACACAAATTATTTCTGTATAACCTGGTTTGGTATGGGGACACACCCCCCTGACAACCAGCTAAATTATCTGTATCCATACAATCCTCTCATTTCCAGTCCTCGAGATTCATGGAAAATTCCAGATTTAATAAATGTACCTTTAACTTCAAACAATAATTCGATCTTACCACATGTAAACAAACAACAAGGCTGCTAGCCCTATGTATCAGTTTTTACCTCCCCTTGCTTCCCATCACTTCCGTTATTTCCGTTGTTAAGGTTGTATTATTGAGCGGCAAATTTGAACAAATAAAAAGCAACAAAATTTTAAAATTAAATTATAAGGAATGACTCTAATTCTTGGCCAAATTATTCGAGTATAACCTGGTTTGAGTCAGTTTAGGCTGTTTTATAATCCGCTTCACGGATTATAAAGCGTAAACTGACCCAAACCAGGTTATACTCGAATAATTTGGCCAAGAATTAGAGTCATTCCTATAATATTCAAAAAGTTTTATGAATTTTTCAGAGCCTAATTTTGTAACTGATATATGTTTTATCACACTTACATAGATCTGGTTTTTCATGTATCGAATTCTCAGGTTGTTCAGGAGAGTGGCTTCATTCAGATACATAAGAGCACCTACAAAACAAGACGTATTTATTGATGTTTGATGTAATTTCTTATATCTTATAATCTTCTTGTTAAGAATCAAATGTTGTATTAAATGTAGCACATTTAAAGTATATCAAATAACTTTAAAAAATATATAATTAAACACGTTAAAAGACTAGTATATCTCTGCAGATACTTGTATTTTACTTTGTGAAGTCTATAAAATCTTGTTGTAAGCTGTGCTTGTTGAATATTTTACTTGCAAGATGATACTAATTTAAATTAAGACTTAATTTCCATTTTCATTTACACTTCTGTAAAACAGTAAGAACTTACAGTTGTCGTCCACATCTTTGTTATCATACTCCTCAGCAGGAAACGTCCGATCATAAATAGCATTGATTGTCTACAATGAAACAGACAAATAAACACTACACTGTAAAACATAGAATCACCCTACATGTCAAACTGCTAAATGATAGAGTCTGCTTCAAAATAACAATTACACAGTGTAGGAAAAGGAAATAATAGTTATCCAAACATCTTTCATAAAAACTTTCAAGAGACTCTGAATAAAGGGAGATAATTACCAGGTTCCTATTTCCTGTCCCTGGGGGCAAGGCAATAAAGGATTTATGTTATTTGGAGTTCATTAGAAATCTCAAATTCAATCATTTTTCATTGCTGAATTACTTTTTAATTCTATTGTTGAGTATATGTTACCATCACTTATGACTGCAGGAATTAAATGCACAAGGTATTTTTTTTTTCTAATTATTTTGCTAATCAATTTCTTCAAAAAATTATCAGATCTATAAAATTATTTGTACAATCACACAAATACAACACTAAACTTTACATTCTTATAAACTCATCTCATCAGAGGCAATTCAGAGCTTGAGAAATGTATCATTTCAATGAATTAAATTATTCACAATAACTGCACATAATAACAAAGGTTTTTGATGACTGTACAATATTGTGTCGCGATATTAACTTACAGTGCCTGGAGCATCAAATGGTTCTATAGCTATACTGTCACTCCCTATGTCCACTATACGCCCCAATTTGAACCCCTCAGTCGGGTGGGGCACCCAGACCTTCTTACCACCATCCATGGTCGGTTACCGAGATCTGAAGAAACAAAAAACCACTCATCAGAAGCATTATACACGCAGGTGGGTTAAGGCTAGGCATAGGCATTTCTATGCAAATAATCTAATTAAAATGCCTAAGGACTATATCTATTATACAGAGAAAGTTAAAACTTATTGTCTAATACATACTTGATATCAACGATATGAGATGACCATTACACATTATGACGTCATATTATGACGTCATTCATCTTTACTACACAAGATTATAATGGACATCAACAAAAATGCTTCGGCGCAAGGGCATCCTTTAGATGTAGGGTATAAAACTAAAGAGTTTCTGTATAGTAGTTTTCACACAATAAAACCCCAGTCGGCTCCCTTAAAACGGGGCCAAACAGTTTGTTGATCGATGTAAAAGGGCGAAAATAAAATGGGGTGAAAATAACCCTATATACAGTATTTATTTATCAGTCAGTTAAAAAATTAGTTGTAAAGTAGACTCTAGTTGCATTGGGAAATTTATAACTACCTACACAGAGACCAAATCTTATATAATTATATAAAATGAGAGCTTTCAAGAGAAGTTTAGAGAACAAATTTATTATTTATCTACCGATTTAAAAACCATTCTATAAAAATATACAGAAGTACAACCATGTGTAAATGAAAAACACTGGTAATAAAACTTAGACTTTATACTCCTATGTCAGAGTTTGGAGCTCTAAAACATTTTTTTTTAACTTTAGTTAATTCATTAACTTTTCATTTCAGCATTTACATGTATGTGAAATTAAAACAAAAATGCGTAATTCATGAATATAATCTGGAATGTAATTCACAAATGTAATCAAGATAACAGAGATCAACTATACCTATGGCAAAATATCAAGAGAGAGAATATATTAAGTCTGCTAATTATCTCCCTTTGATAATGTCTAGACTTGAGGAAAATAAACCAAACATTAGATGATAACATTGCTGAGGCTCCACAATAATTAAATTCATTAATCAATTAATTGTTGGAAGCCAGGATACACAAGAATACACAGCATCATCCCATGTTTTTTTACTGTAATAATTTCTACAGTGTATTACACAAAAGTACAGTAATGTGATTTCTATGCGGTGCATAGTGCATCATTCAATGCATCTGTGTGTCGATGCACTTTATAAATTCACACCTCTCCATTAGAAAAATTTGTTCTCCTTAATCAAGATTCAAAAACAGACGACTTTCTGTCCTTTGTAGAGATTTTTTCTCCTATTGTGATGTTTGATCTGATATGATTTTGACAGAGGACAAGATAGAGAGAGAGAGGTGTGTACAACAAGGCTGCATGTCGAATCAACATTTTTAAAATATGCACTTGTTTTATAACTGAAAACATGTTTTTTTTATTGTAGGGTTATTATTAAACAATGACTTTTAAACAAATACCACTCAAATTATAACCATTTCTGGCAAAAAAAAATATAAATGTGGTTTTTAAAATAAAACTAAGTTTAAGTTGTTTAAGTTGTAAAATATGTTTGTGTTAATTACTGTGAAACAATTAAGAATTATCAGATTAATTTATACTAGCAGAGGAAAAATGATAAACTTTAAAAAATGATAAACTCAGATTGATAATAAAACAGGGGGAGGGAGGGAGCAAGGGTTGACTTCAATACTTTTAAGCTTAATACAGTTGAACTTCGGTATCACGAACACGAATGTCTCGAATACAATGGATATGTCGAAGTAATTGGAGAGTCTTAAGCCCTTTTTCTTTAAGTATTTTACCCTCAATATCTCGAACCCACAGATATCTCGAAATTTTTTTGTTGGTCCCATCGAGTTTGAGATAATGAGGTTTGACTGTAAATGATTTTTAATAATAAAAGTGGAATGGGGATGCATATTGTTTGTCCTTAATTACACTGATCTGTCAATATGGAACCAGCTGCCAGAAGAATTCATCTTGGTTAGTCCTTAGAGTCATTTAGGATCAGCAGAATCCACAGACTTCAGGCACTTTAAAGGAAGCAGGGCATTTGCAGCAACTTACTTATGATTTATAAAGAAAACAGGATGTGTTTTTATCAGCTTTTTTAAAAATTTGTAAATAGCGACTCCCCCTCTTGGACACACTTTTTTAACCAAAGCGAGACAATGCCATAGTTATGGCCCTTCACTCTATCTGGAGAAGGAGAAGGAATCTATCCTTACAAGCAAATGATGGCGACCTGTCCTTAGACAATATCATGTATATACTGATGTTTTCAGAAAACATACCTTGACAGCATTATTCAATTAAACTAATCCTGTTACACTAATCAGTCCATATTGTCACCTACTGTCTCAGGCTAAAATCTATACAATAAATCTTTACTGTTACAATGTAGCAGCTTAATAAAGGTCACATGTAGAACTGTCTCCTGATGAATTAATAATCTCTCTCTCTCTCTCATATTACATTACAGCCCAGACTCAGTATAACAACTAAAATAATACTTACTTGTTAAAATCTGTTTATTATGAACAAAACTGGATATTATATGAAATAATCATTTTAATGAAAATAAAAATAAAATTATAAATAAATATTTGCTGTTTGCTAGGATCTGTAGCAGTTTTAGAAAATGTAGAATGATTTGAATTTTGAACAATATTAACTTGATCATGCTTAATATAACAAAAATATTATTGGAAAGTTCATTAGTCATTAACTGTGCATGCATAGTTTAAGCCTCCAACATCAGGAATTTTCAGAAAATATAAGTATACCTAGTAGTTTTATACAGATAACATTTATCTATAAATTTCCTCTTAAGACATCTTTCACAAGAAATAACATGCTATATAAATCTTCAGTAGCTGATAGTATATAGACATTAATCATTGATGCAGTAAACTTGTGGGTACACAGCCAGTTTTATCTAGTCAGCAATACTACAACACCTGTCTCTGCTACCTGTTACCATGGCAACAAATATCAATATCTACCTGAGTTTTTGAAAGCAAGGTGAAAGCTACTTTGTTTTTCCTATTGATCTGGAATTTACTTCTTAAATACAATGTACAGTATAGTGCACAATATGTCAAGCTGTCTCATTGTCTTATCTTGTTCCCAATGCTATCATAGATCTAATAACCTGAACTCAATACATGGTTCTCATGGTTTCTTGTATGTAGTACAATTATCAAGTCGGGGGGGGGGGGGGGGGGGGGATTAAGGCAGTCCATGCTTTTTGATTTTTTTTTGGGGGGGGGGGGGGAGGGGAGAGAGGGGGAAGGTAGGGGGGTCTTCTTTAATTAGAAAAAAAATAACATGAGGTTCTATTTCTGTCTCTGTATCTACATTGAAATAAAGATATAGTTTGCAGAATAACTTTCATTCACTATCATGTTACTTCATACTTTTTTTCTGATTTATACCATGCAGTGATGACAGAAAAGAAATTTGGCAAACAAAATATTAATTACAATACATGTACCATACACGCGGAATACAAAATTTTACTTGTAGTTCTTCAAACATGAATTAGTAATTTATGCATGATTTATGCAGCTCTTTATAGTAAATAAAAAAAATCCTTTGACAAGTTACACTATCTATAAGCACTGTTGTTTATGCAGTAGTCAATTTCTTCAGCTGAAATCACTGTTACAAAAATGTGTACGTGAAGGGACTGTTGAATTATTCTTGCATGCCAGTCTACACATTTGATTACCTGGTAGCAAATTTTCCCCCTCATTAACCCTAAAGATTGAAAGTTCCCAGATAAGATATAAAAGGGGATGATCCGCCCCAACTATCAAACATGAAGCAAGGGATCGGAATGTTCATTTTATCAATCTAAACACACCTCTAGGCCTCTTACGTAACATTTAAAACACAATAAAATGATTTAATCTGTAATCATTACAAGTCAGATCTTATACCCTGTGGGTTTAGACGCTTATCGCGATTTACGGCAAAAAAGCTTGAAAAAAAGGTGGATCCAGTTTGTGTATATACACTTCTACGAAAAACAGAGAGGTCTGCTGGGAACACGGCGTTCCCGCTCAAGCTGAGAGGAAGCGAGTAATTCCTGAAAAGAAATTGGCTCGTTGTGGAAAAGTGCCTGACAATACATAAAAACAAACACTCACCTTTCCTGAGGGACGGCAATATCGTCGTCTCAAAGGTCTACGCCAACCTCAGGTGTGACTTCCGGTTACAGGTACCGGTGAATTGACATTCTATAAATAGTCCTGCGTAGTCAGTTGCGCACCAAGTGACTTGAACAGGTATGGGATAACCTAATAAACGGAAATTACGGTGAAGTACGTGATACAATTCTAATCGATTTTTGATGTCGATGAATGGCATTTTTGCAATGAATACTTCATATAATGTTCACAAACTATCATTATACAATTATAACTGTTCATAAATTTTATACCTATATTCCATAATTCTATCTAGAGTTGTCTTTGGTACTACTCCCCCCCCCCCCCCCCCCGATAAATCAGTGAAAAACTGTGTATTTGAAAACTCTTCAAATTATTTTAATTATCAATTAACCTAATAATCAGTCATTTCCTATTTAAAAAACTGTCATCCTTTAAAATACTTTTTTTTCGAATTGTGTGAATCATGTGAAATAAAAACTTTTGGGGGGGGGGGGGGTTAATTAATTAGTGGCATTTACTTCATGTTTGTGATATGGCCCTGACTAAATGGACCAAGTATTTCTCGGAAAGATAGTACGAATGTTGTGCCATAAAAGTGTATTTTTCAGGTATAGTGGGTGTTTGATTCATGTTTAAACGTTTTTCTTAACCAAAATACATATATTTTTACACAAACTTTGCAATTGAGGATAATTTTCTTTTTAAAAAAAAAAATGGAGCGAAGACACACTTATATGGAAAAAAATGTGTTACATGTATAATATGAGAAAATGATCCTATTCGCCGTCTTTGGTTTGTGTATGTGTGAGGAAGGGTGTGTGTGAGGGTGCAATTGTGTTTGTGTGTGTGCTATTTCATAGACGAATAATTTCGATCTTTGTTAGATTTTTTGCAAATTGTTGAGATTTTACATAAAGTATACCTTAATGTTAGATGAAATAACAAAGAAAATTTTGTTATAATTGAGATTTATTTTTTCAACTTCAATATTTGTAGCACCGTATTCATTTCGATCGCCTTGTTCGTCCATCTTCTTGAAATTGAAACACATTGATATTTTATATATTGTAAATGCAAATGATCATGGGTATGCTCAAAAATTTATATTAAGAGTCAAATTTTACACGAGTTTATATCCCAGGGCCATCACTTTTTTCTAGGCCACCATTGGCTTGTAACCCATGCCATCTCTATAATTTGTTTAGTTCTGGTACAAAATCTATGACAGTTTCCTTCATTACAGGCGCGGATCAGGAATTTATTCCAAGAGGTGGGGGGTGGGGGGGTTCCACCCCAGTCCAAAAAAAAAATCCAACCCAGAAATTTCTTGAAAAGCCAAAAAAAAAAAAAAAAAAAAAAAAAAAAAAAACCTAAATATTCCATTTCCCAAACGTGATAAATACCTATTTCGTGGTGGTGATCCCCCTCGACCCCCCTCTAGATGCGCGCATGCATTATTAGTATCAGTTATCTTCCTGTTTTCTTAACTTGCTTTTGTAGATCTCTGACTATAAACGACACCCCCTTCCTCTTCTTCGTCAGTTTAATTTCTACCTGTCATGTTTCGTTCACCTTTTCACAAAGCTGCGTCATATGTAGAGCTATAACTATTCTCATATTCTCTCCTTATTATCATACTTCATTCGTCAGTATACACCCTATCTATTTCCATTTCTAGCCCATATATTATTACAGTAAACAACAAAAATCCTGTGTAATTTTAGAATCGGAAATTAGGGGGACGACCATTTGATTTTGAGGGGAAAGGGTGGTAGCAATTTTATCTTTCAGTCAAATTATTTATTTGGACAGAATATTTATTTCCATCATGATCATGACCAGAGACAGATTATTTATTTTATTCAATGAAAAATATTGACCGACAAGGACAAAAGCGGGAGGGGGGACCATACAGGATAAACACAATTTAGGTGAAGGGGGGGGGGGGGTCAAACTCATGATTTAAAAATCCTTTATTTAAGAAAGATGGCCCTTCTATTATGTTTGTGTCATTGTTATTAAGTTGTATTGTTACATGTAAGTGATGGAACGGATTATATTCAAACACCTGTACAATCAATTTCATGATAATATCTTTCTTTTTTAAATATTTTATCAGGTCATTCGACAGTACATGTATATCAACTACTAGAAACATAATATGATGTTGCAGACGATAAAAATGCCTTAGCACCATTGAAAACAAAATTCTGTTTCGACTTAATATATTAATCGGAAAAAATGGCTCCTAGAATTCAATCCTTCCAAAACTAAAGCAGTATTTTTCAGCTTGAGAAAAAAACGATTGCTACCCTAAACTCTTCTTCCAGTAATCTAAAGTTAGTTTCCTCGCATTTAATTAAACATTTAAGGATTTTTTTCCTCTCATGTTAGTTGATCTCAGTTGGTTACACATATTGACACCACTTTAGGAAATGCATAATATTAAAAAAATAATGAGTTTATAAAAAACTAGATGAAATCCCGCGCAAGCGCGGGGAATTGAATTTATACCACTACCGACAGAAAAAATCTAATAATAATATTATATATATTGTAGTTTCTACTGACAGCCTACAGGCTTATAACTGGAAGAAATACTTTGTGAAGTAGAAGTACGTCTCCACCCCCCACCCCCCCCGTGTAAAACTTAAATAACAATATCATTAATTGACGTTTATTGAGAAACCTGTTATATACTATGTTATGGATATTGTATATACTATGTTATGGATATTGTACTTCAGATGCTCTTATTTCATTTCCGTCAAGAATAAAAGCAGTGAATATGCACATTTTACTGAGAAATAGATTTTTTGGGGTAAAAATTCACAGGTACTTGGGTCTTGGTTTATTAATATGTATGTACCTTATTGATATGTAAAAACTGTACCTTACCTCTTTTTTTAACATATCAATAAGGTACATAAATATTTATAATCCAAGACCCAAGAACCTGTGTAAAAATTAGCTTTTATATAACGCCCTATGAATACAATGGCGGATTTAGAGGGGGGCCAGCCCCCCTCCCATTTTGTGTCCAAAATATACATAAAATTTAATAAGTCAATTTTTTTGGTGTGTGTCCGTGACCCCTACCCCAACCCCAAACTGGTTGCCCCCCCCCTTTCAAGATTCCTGGATCCGCCACTGGAATAGGCCGAGTATTTGATACAAAAGACTGTATTTAAAAAAAAAAAACTGAAATGTATTGATTAAAGCAAAATTTTACAGCATAATTGTATTTGAATAATGCCTAATTCATTAATATTCTCTTTTCATGTAAGCAAGTTTATTACGAAGTACAAATTGTACTTCGGGTTCGTTGCCACGATGCTCTCAATGAGGAATATATATACAAATTTTACCGATAAATTTATTAGGAAAACCTACTACATATATGTAATAGTAATATATAAATATATTCACAACTTACAGTATTATCAATGATTTACCATTATTTCAAAGACCATTCACACAAAAGCTTTTTTATGTTAAAGCAGCTATAATCACCTCGTTTTTCTTTTTAACATCGGGCTCGATGCTATATGATGTTCTAGAAGTTTCCGTCAATATTACGATCGGTGAATGACGAAAATAATCTGCACATTTTCCTTTTTAATCGGGTATCACAACTTATTTCCTTTATATCATTTAAATCAAGTTTTGATTGAATAATAAAGTGATGACGTTTTATGAAATAAATAGACGATTGCTTGTTGTCAGTTTCATTAAAAATTGCCAGTAACTTAGATCCGCCAACCGGAAACGCCACCGTACTCACGTTTTTGCTATTTCATGGCTGTTTATAGAAAATAAAAGTAGACTTTTAATTTAATGTACGATACTTACAATGCAAGTGAAATCTAAATATAGTTTACGGACATCATCTTGTATCGTGTGTATTCTCAGAGGAGTAAGTAAGAACTCTGGTGCACCCGTTTCGGAGTTTATTTGCAAAATTTATTAATTTATAAGTATAGATAGCTCAAATTTGTAGTAAACCGGAAAACCTCTTTTCATTCATGTACACAACTGTTGGTAGATTACAATTAGAATTTGTTTCCTCGGTATTGAGAGGATGTAATGTGGACGGCAAAAAATTTAAAAAAAAATTACAATTATGTGCCCCTATAGAATTTTCACAGGACTAACTGTTTTAGCTTCTTAAGGTTCACTTTATTTCGAAACTGGATGGGAACCGTTATACGAAAGAATAAAAGCTGTTAGATTAACGATAATTTACAGAGTTTATACAATCTCTGTACAATCTATACATATAATAATTTATGATAACCTAGTTCCTGAATATCTGAGTGACATTCTCCTTAATATGCGCTGTAATTCAACAAATTAGTATTACAGTTCAAGAAATTCACAAAACTATAATATACCTAAATGTAAATTACAAACCTGTAAGTCAATGTTTACTCCTGGAATTCACTCCCCCTTGCTGTAAAAAACTCTTCCTCATTATTTATTTTTGATAAACTGACTTCCAATTATAAACCAATGCCTTACTCTTACTTCAATTGTGGAAATCGACGATTATGTACGAGGCTTCGTCACTATTAGGGAATTCTATTTATTTTGCGTGTCACATGATATATGTATCCAACAGAAATATTTGAAATCCTCTGATCATTATAATTTTGTGTGTTATTTTATTTTAAACTGTGACCCATATGTGTAAAAATGTTTGATATATTTCTTTTGTAGGGAAAAGGCATATTAAGATTTTAGAACTTTTGCTCCATCTCATTTGAAAAAAAAAATAAAGGCAATAAAATGCATGTATGTTCAAACACAAAGCTTTTGAATCAGAAAGAGAGGTTCTTCATATGACAAGATTTTTGAGTGTATAGTTTGAATTTTTAACTCATGACTTTGAAGCTTGACCAATTTTTCAAAATTGTTAACTTTTTAGTAACTTTATGAATTTCTTTTGAATTAGGAAAGACAGGGGTTTCATATTCACGTGTCATACCTTTGTCAAGACATTTCAGAATATGATATAATATTTTTCCTAGAGTCTTTGACCTTGAAGTTTGAGCTACTTTAAAACAAAATAACCTTGACCGTAGCTTTTGCACCTGAAGAT